TAGGGGCACTGCAGGGACTAGGGGTCCATCTTTTTTTTTTCCTGAGGAGACCTAGGGCTGTCAGTTGTAGTGGGGTGCAAGAATGAAGTGCTGCTGGGTGCCCAAAATACCTGAAAGCCTAGGGGGGTAGCCATGGGTTAATATGGCCCTGGTAACTAGACCTTGAAAGCCTGTGCTGTGCTGCTGAGCTATGGTCCCTTTGAACAAGGAGACTGATTTAACAATAACGGTTTCTCCCCCGCAGGGAACTCTTGAGAACTGCAACTCAGTGTGTATGAGCAGGGTTGACCCTACCATTATGTAGAGTGAGGAAGACGCCAGAGGGAGAGGGAGTATCATTAGCTACATCTTCCTGCAGTGCCCAAGTGCTAATAGCATAGACAGCTTATGAACCCATCAGGGAATGCCTCCCCCCCAAGTTTAGGAGGAAGGTCCACAAACCAACCTGGGTTGAAAGACAGAGTTGTGTTGTCTATGGCCTGCCTTGTGCACTCTCTCTCTCCAGCTTAGTGCCTTGAAATATAGTGGAAGTAAGATTCACCTGGTGGTTTAGCTAGCTTCTTTACATGGAATTTGGGAAAGGGGCCTCACTGGTTCAAAAAATATCCTGGGATGGCACTTATTTTGCTTATTTGAAAAAGCCAGGACACTTAATACGTATGAGGTCAGTATAAATGTGCAATTTGGGTAGGATAAAGCAAATTACATAACTAAATATCCTGCAAACGCATTTCTAGGGGGTTAGTTCTGTTAGTCATGGCAAATACACCAACAGGAAGCCTAGTAAAATCTTAAAGACTAACACACTAAACCTGGCACATGTTTTTCATGAACTGAATCCCATTTCATCCGAATTCTATAGTCTTGCCTCTGTTGGTAGGTATCTATATGTTGGATAGATTGCAACCTAGATATGGTGCTTTTAAGGAGTTTTTAGCAGGGAGGGACTTTCCTGGACTGGGATGAATGTCAATCAACTGATTAGCAGCCATTTGTTCCCTCTGTACCTCAGGCCATCGTCACACAAGAGGAATTCCCCCTTCTTCCTCATGTCTTCTGCTTTCTGTATAGTCACACGTTGTGGTCACATGACATATATCCTATGATAGTGGTTCATACATTTTTTAACTGTTCCGCTTTTTTTGGTCGAATTAGATGCAGTATGTTCATCTACATCCCTTGAGCAGGACATATCCTCTTCCTTTTCTTGTGCCTTTATCTACCCCACTTCCTCTTTTTTGAAAAAAATTGGGTGGATACATCACTGTGTCAGCAAAACACTCTTGCTGGCCACATACTGATTTGGGCCATTTCCTCCTATTTCCATGCTTTGCTACCTCTACTGCAGTGTGTACCCTACAGTGGAGAATCCATGGCACACTGCAATAGATGTCAAAATGATGCTCCATATTTGACAGAAGTATACTAATGTGTCAACATTTCCATTGGAAAAGTAATTTAAAAAAACCTCACGAGAGTAGAATGACAGAAGATGAGAGAGGCCAGATGCATAGAAAATGAATCAGTTTTGGAGTACACACTCAATGGGATGTCGGTTGTACTGCGAGATGAAACGTGGAACAAATATAATAGTAGCCTCCCAGCAGGCTGGATCTGATGCGGAGATGGTACGGAGGGGGAACAAAAGAATCGATAATGGCCTTGAGTCATCTGGAACCCCTTAAAAGTGTTGACATTCACAAGCAGTAACTTGGAAACATTTTGCTGGTGTGACCACAGCCTCAGATTCTTGTTCCCTTCTTTCTTTTCCCATTCAGGGTTCTGTCAGTGTTAGCAATGGAGTCTGTGAAAAGCGGACAGTTATAGTGATGTGGCTCTATCAGCTATGTAACTAGTCAGTTAGTCAGTAATGAAGCTAGTTAAACAGTTAAGCTCAGTGATGTAACAAGCTGAAATGCGGAAGATACATTTTTCCAATAGAAGCACCTATGGAAGAACGCTACCTTTTCAATGTAAGAAAAAATACAACTAAAAATTACTCGACTCTTCTTTTGTCTCTTATTTGACACAAGACTTTAGATATCCTGGGATTACTTAGCTGTGTTAAGAAATACTTCTTGCTTTCCCCTTCATTCACTTCAGGTTTACCAGCCCGTTTCCTAGATCAATTGAACTGGCCAAATTCCCAAAGGCTGAGTCCTTTTGGCCGTTAAGAGAGACTCTGTCACAAATCAGTAACAGTCGTGTTCGTTCCATTCTACGACGGAAGCCAACATGAAAAGCTTGGCTGGCAGATTTATTGATTATATTTCGCCAGTGACCAGCAAGTGGCCAGCACTCTGAAAAATCCCCAAAGGTGATCATTAGCACTGAGTAACTGTCACTAAACATTAGTACGAGCAATGGACTTGAGCCAAGGTGGGGGTGGGGGAGACGCACAACACTTTAAAGGAAAGATTCAAGTGGCACAGCCCACGGTGCAACAAGAAAGGGAGAGGGTGGGATAAGTCTGCTTTGATTAGCGTCGCTGTTTGCAATGCTGGAAACATGATGAGTTCTTGCTGTACCCTTTCAGTTAGCAATACTGTCTGGCGCTTTGAAACATTGCTCTTTTTGATTACAACTCTCAGAATCACCCAGTCAGCATGGCCAAGCAATGTAGTGGTTCCAAACTCTGTATAGATTTGGCCTGTACAACATGTGAACACACACACACACACACCCCAAGCTGAACATAGGCCACCTGTCCATCCCTTATGGCAGTTTCTCAGAGACTCAATCACTAGCTTGATGATCTCGAAGTCCGGTGACACTTAAATATTAACCATTTTAATATGGCATAAGATTTTGTAGGCATACTGTATGTCTATTTCATCAGCTGTGTGATCAATTATTCTAAACCGACAGGTATATATATAGCCAGGAGAAAGAAAACTTTTGCAATGAGATCAGAGGGAAATGGAGTCCAAGAACAAAGATTGTGATAACTGTATTACATCTAGTGTAATGTACAGCTTACGTAAAATAATTACAATGAGAATTCACAGAAATCCTGGCATCAGTGAGGTAATTAATATAGATAATGGGATAAACACCTGTTACATTAATTCAAATAAACATTTTCACAAGAATTGTTGACTCACTGAGTCAGAACCGACTTACAGGGTCCCCAACAGGGCTTTTAAGATATATAAGATATTTAAGGAGTGGTTTTAAAAGTTCCACTTCCCCAGTGAGCTTCCATGACCAAATAGGGAAATTGAATCTTGTTCTCCAGAGTTCCAGTCCATTACTCTACCCACTACACTACACTGAGAATCCTGTACTGCTAAACAACATATAATTGACCACATAAAAATTAAAGATGCTCACAGCCTAAGGAACATAAACAAAATCCAGAGCAATGTCATTCCACAGCAGCAGAAGAAACCAACAAATGCTATCATTTACAAAACCCGGTTGATATAGTCTTCCCCCTATATTTCTACAGAGTTTTGAGATATTGGCAATTATTATTTAAGTCAAAAGGGAAAAAGAAGAATAATTTACGCCATCCATCATTGTTTCCTTGCATGAATAAATTACAAGACACTGCAGCAAATCAATTGTGGGGAAAGAAACAGCCCACGCCAAACATTGTGCTTGTGTGTATAATTTCCTTAATGATTTCCATCCTCATACATCAAAACTGTGAGCTGAATTTGGCAAACCTGATGCAGGAGAAAGCTCATTATCCCAAGGTCTTGTAGGGCACCTAACTGGAGTCCCATAGCATGTGATGAGAGGAAGCAGGTGCATCTAATTCATAGGCACAGACTTCATAGATACTGGGTCAACTTGTCTTTCCCTACCTCCAACTTTCAATAAACAAATCATGAGTACTTTATAAGCTTACAAGCTTATCTAATCTTAGGTGATTTGAACTTTAGAACATCTTAAGTCCCATTTCAAAGTCTGGCTAACAACTATGGCATGTAATGGACATAACCTTTCTTGGGGCCAGCAATACCCCCTTTAAGTGTCTTTTGGTTTTGGGTTATTTTTGTACATCTTGTTTAGTCCATCTCTTTCCAAGGTGTTGTAGTGACCTTTTAGGCAACTGACTTGCTGATGGTGTTCCTTTAAGAAACTGAACTCACCTTCCTCATTTCTTGCTTCTATTGCTTTAAAGAAAGAGAGAGAGACAGAGAGATGCTAGGAATCGCTAGGGATAGAACTTAGGACTGGTGGTATGCAAAACATGGGTTTGTCTGCATAATTCATTAGCTGTGATCAGGGCATGCATTGAGAAGTCTTAATTAGTACCTAGATGTCTTTGTCAACCTTACTTGCATAAAAAGTACCTCTATATTTGAAACAAATGGGAAGGCTCACTGATCTATCATTGTTGCGTCCACATTCAAATTTCCTGGTCTCACACAGTGTATTACAATGTTAGGATGTGGGTCCCATTTTCTTACAGCAAGATCTCTACCTTTAATTGGATATGGTTACAATCTGCATAGCATTCCATAGGAAAATATGCATTGCTTTACCTTTTGCTGTTAGGCAACAATTAAAGGCAATATACCCCGCAACCCTATAATCATGATCTCTGCAAAAACCAATATGTTAATACCTTTCAAGCCACACCTTGTATTTGATCGTCCACATTAGAGAAGGGCCTCCAGTATCAAGACTAGGTGAAGGGTGATTCCAAAGCATTGTGACCATGGAGTTTGACAGTGCCATTGGCCATCCTGTGAGAAACTCAACAGTGACTTCATATTATTCTCCACTGGGTTTCCATGTACTGAGATGCTTTTAGGAAGGTGGGAAGGGTATAAATATTTAAACAATTAAAGATTTATATCCAATAACTGGAATTACGACAACATCTTAATTCTTCCCTGAAATTTGTCTTCTGTTTATTTCTAAAGAAAAAAAGGATATTTTATTTTATTTTGAACGTCAAATGGATGTTAAACTCTAAGAAAGCACACTAAGCGAACAGATGCACACAAATATTTTGCCACATGATGCCGTACTTAAAGACTTACCACATGGTGGCTCGATCTGTGTGGAGAGGCGGTAGTCTGTTGCCTCCAACCATGTGCTGAACTGAGTGTTACAACGTTCCTGTAACCGCTGGGAAATCCGGGGGAGCAGGGTATGAACCCATCCTGAATTCTCTGCTGTTGGGCAAGAGAAACATAGCTCTCATCAGAGTATTACATGCATCGGTTCAGGAGCTGGTTTTATCACATTTTGATTTAGCGTCTCTCATGTGTTTGTGCTGTATTTCTGAGTGGACCTTGCTGTTTCAGACATCTAAAAAAAACAAATATGGTATATCATTTGCAGCAATGAAACATCTGGCTCAATTGGTGGGCTGGTGCACTGGCACAGAATCCAATTCAATAGCACAGGGTACAAAAGGGATTGAATAATCCAGCTTCTGTTATGGAAGAGAAACATGTCAACATGCTTGGAATTAAAGGAGAGTGCAAAAACTCAGGTCAAAGCCAGAAAGGCCAAGAAGGGGAAGGAGGGGTGTTTATGTAGGCAACAGGCTGAGAAAGATCTTGAACAAACAACAGACGGGATATGAGAAGATTGGTGGGTGTCTGGCAGAAGGGATGGGCAGCAAAGGGTTTACTTTCTTAAGAAACCTTATAGCAAATTATGATGATGAGGCACGGTTTGCCACGTGGGATGAAGTAAGCAGTTGCATGAAAACAGTGGAAGGCAAACAGACAAAGGATTATAATCTAGTGTCTAGAAAATGGCTGAAGAATTATGCAGAGTTTGGGTAAATTACTTTTTGGACTGCAGTTTGCAAGACCAACGAGTTAACATGGGAGTTTGGACTGGGAAAAAAAAAAAGTAACTCTACAGAAATTCTACTAGTTGCGCCTTCTATGGTCAGTACAGCGTCATGGCCAAACAAACACTTCAGAAAAACATCATGTCGAGAGCTGAATTTTACACACTTGCCTGCAACTTTCTAACTTTCTGCCCCCACCCCACCTACCCCGTTGTCAAGAGGAAAATCACCCACTCAGTATAGTCTGGAAGTAACCCATGTGAGGCTGAGAGAGGACATTTGGGTGATTCTCTTAGAAACTAAATGAAATGCAACCGTGAATCTAAGCAGCTGGCCGTCTTGATTTAGGATGGAAGCTGCTGCAAGATAGTGATAAGTGAACGGCTGGCAATGAAAGGAATTAAAAAAACCACACTTTCGTTTAATGGAGTAAATTTCTTTCAGCGTTGCTTCCATTAAGGGCACTATACTGATGACACATGTAACCTTTTAAACTGTGAAATTGTAGGTTCTACAAATGCTAAGGGTTAGAATTGTTATTACATTAATATGACATTTCAAGGAGGCAATTGCTCTGAGTTATCCTCAGCTCACCTCCATGTTTCTATATAAAGAAAAAGATGGTGGAGTTATGACCATCCAGATGCTTAAAAGAAGGATGAACTCTGCACTGACTTCTTAAATATAGAACTGACTCATACGTATGTAGCAAACGGATTTTATTGAGATAGAGAGAACATCTGAGCATGTTGAAGATGCACTATTAGAAATGTTTCAGCTTTCAAATTATCCTTAACCATCAGCTCATTCTTTTAGTAGAAATTACTACTGAATACAAAGGGACAATTTCAAAAAGTCAAGAATCAACTTTACAACATATGACTCAGTAAGTCAAATGAATACATGAAACTTGTAGCATGACCCATACATATTGATACACCTGGTTTTGCTGTCTCCTTAATGCTCCAAAACTAGGAGGCTTATCAGGCCCTTGATGAGCTGCACCTGACATAGTTGGTATGGTTAACTTTGAACTAACCCTAGATAAAGCTGATCAAGGACCAACGATGCCACTTGTATTCAGTAATCATTTGTGAAAACGTTAGGAAATATTCTTTAGGATATGGGTCAACACAACAGGTTTACAAATCTTTGCTTTTTTTGTATTTGCAGCTGAAGTTGTGCACATTATAGTCCTTGCAGATCTCCTTGTATCGCAGCTGTGGTCTCCCTCTGGGACGATTTCCCTGCACTAATTCTCCATACAGGAGATCTTTCGGAATGCAGCCATCAGTCATTCTCACGACATGCCCAAGCCAACGGAGACGTCGCCGTTTCAGTAAGGTATACATGCTAAAAATTCCAGCTCATTCTAGGACTACTCTATTTGGAACTTTGTCCTGCCCGGTGATACCAAAAATGCGTTGGAGGCAACACATATCGAAGGCGTTCAGCTTCCTCTTATGCCATGCACAAAGGGTCCAGGACTCACTGCAGTACAGGAGTGTGCTCAGGACACAGGCTCTATAGACTTGGAGCTTGGTAGATGTTGTCAGCTTCTTATTAAGCCATACTCTCTTTGTGAGTTTAGAGAACATGGTAGCTGCTTTGCCAATGCATTTATCCAGCTCAACATCTAGAGAGAGTGTGTCAGAGATCGTTGAGCCAAGGTACACAAAGTCATGAACAATCTCCGATTCTTGTGTAGAGATGGTAATAGAGGGAGGTGAGTCCACGCCCTGGCCCACGACTTGTGTTTTCTTCAGGCTGATTGTTAGTCCAAAGTCTTGGCAAGCCTTGCTAAAACGATTCATGATTTATTATCTACATTACTCTGGCATAAGATTTTAGAAAAATAATGTAAAAAGGTCTAATGTAAGGAAATACATATGTACATGTGTATGTGTGTATACACACACACACACACACATACACATTTGGTTTTGCTGAGAGTTGCCTGAGCTTTTGTTAAATCCCCACTCCAGAAGGTATGTGTGTATATACACACACATACACACTTGGTTTTGCTGAGAGTTGCGTGAGCTTTTGTTAAATCCCCACTCCAGAAATTGCAGCTTAGAAATATCTTCCCCCCTTGTATCCAAGATTTATGCCTTTCTGAAAAGCATGTGAGACTACTGACATGGCAACTTTACTAAACCACGTTAGTGACCCTAATATATTGGGACTGGAGATACTGAGGTGTCGCTTTATCACTGATTATGGTTCATCAGATTTTCTGACATTTGAGCTATAAATTAAATGGAAAGTACATTTGTAATGTGAAGTCCATGTCTACTTACTTAATCTAATCAAGTCTCAAATACTTGCTTTAGCAGGCTAATAGCTTCTTGAAGAAACATGGGGCTGTTCTACATTTCATTTATGTGACGGATGGGATAGGGAGATGGATTAAACAGTAGATGAGTACCTTGGGATGTGAAAGAAAGCGACTATGCTACTTGATCTCATGAATATTTCAGCTACATTTGGACTTGTTTAAAGGCCTCAAACTGGTTTAGTTTAGATCTATACTGAAATCCTTACCAGTGCTTTATCACATGGCATTGCTTACTAACAACTTTTCAATTTTTAACAATAAAAAGCAGTCCTACGGAAGGAAGTGCCATTTAGCCTTAGTTTTCTAACAGTGATTAGAAATATATTTCTGCGAATTCAGAAGAAGAGAATGAAGCAACAGAGGCCCTATTTTCTTGAATTCATAAGCTTTGGTATAGGAAGGTTCTGTTATCACGAACACATCCATTTTCCAGTTACCGCCCCTATTTTCTTGAATTCATAAGCTTTGGTATATGAAGGTTCTGTTATCATGAACACATCCATTTTCCAGTTACTGCCCCCCATAAGATTGCAAACACCAGCACAGTGTGTAGCAATGATTTCTGTAATTATCAGTTGTTTGAAGTATTTCATCTTGACTTTGCTACCAAAAGTATCTATCCACTCCTTCATTGTTGTTGTCATTAACTCGTGTCCGTCTCTTCGTGACCCCATGGACCAGAGCATACCAGGCTTTCCTGTCGTCCACTGTCTCCTGGATTGGGTCAAATTCATGTTGGTAGCTTCAATGACACTCCTTCTATAGATATGAGAACAGTGCATCTCAATTTGTTGTGTGCAAAGGAACTAAACTGCACTTACAGCAAGATTGTTTTTTACATGAACTATGTCATCCTCTATAGATATGAGAACAGTGCATCTCAATTTGTTGTGTGCAAAGGAACTAAACTGCACTTACAGCAAGATTGTTTTTTATATGAGCTATGTCATCCTAACAGACCTGGTGGCACTGCGGGTTAAACCGCAGAAGCCTCTGTGCTGCAAGGTCAGAAAACCAGCAGTCATAAGATCGATTCCATGTGAGCCTCTGTGCTGCAAGGTCAGAAAACCACTAGTCATAATATCGATTCCATGCAGCGGAGTGAGCTTCAGTCGCTTGTCCCAACTCTTGCCAACCTAGCAGTTCAAAAGCATGTAAAAATATGAGTAGATAAATAGGTACCACCTTGGTGGGAAGGTAACGGCGTTCCGTGTGTCACCGCACTGGCCACGTGACCACGGAAACTGTCTATGGACAAACGCTGGCTCTACGGCTTGGAGACGGGGATGAGCCCTGCGCCCTAGAGTCGGACACGACTGGACTAAATGTCAAGGGGAACCTTTACCTTTATGTCATCCTATGTTAGCGCTGGTGCAGGTTACGTCTTCCACAGATTTCTAACGTCATGTAACACCTCTTCTTGGCTTGTTTGCACTGTACAAGCTTTACAAAAAGACTAACTGCCCTTGCTTCATCTCTCTCCCTTGTATTTGATGCAAACAACGGGAGCGTTTTTTTTTTTTTAAAAATGCCCCCATAAAGGCGTAATGATTTCTCCATTGCTATCATTTACATTTTAATAAGCTCTAAAACTTAAAAGGAACAAGTCAAATTAAATCAGTATATAAACCACTATTTTTCATTAGAATTGGAATTATGCAAAATATTATGGTCTCAGCAAAAGACATTATCTAGCTTCCAAACAATGTGTAGGAACAATAAATTTTCTTAAGTATGCACACTTTATAAAAGGACTGTATTGCTGGTAATATTACAGAAATAAAGTGAGTGAAAACACCTTTTGCTAGTCATCTATGAGTTAAAATGGGTAATAGGTTTTCAGGTTGCAGAACCAAGAATTAAAATATTATTCATACTTTTCTACTACACCTATAATCTTAACTTTGTCTTCCATTTTATCAAAGCTTCTCAAGGCTCCAGGGAGAGTGTACTAAAACAAGAGGCCGCCCAGTCTCCAGTAAATAAAATTAATTTCTTAAACCTTTATCAGTCATGCAAATCAAGAA